TTTGAAGTGTACAGGCTGGTTATTTTCCTAAATTTCCCTCAGTTCGGGTTTGTCTGGGACTTCCTCATGATTAGATTCAGGGGATGCATTTTGAGTGGGAATACTACTTATGTGTTTCACGGAAGTTCTTTTTTTTTTTTTTTTAAGATTTTATTTATTTATTTGACAGAGAGAGACACAGCGAGAGAGGAAATACAAGCAGGGGGAATGGGAGAGGGAGAAGCAGACTCCCCGCTGAGCAGGGAGCCCGACCCGGGGCTCGATCCCAGGACCCTGGGATCATGACCTGAGCTGAAGGCAGACGCTTAACGACTGAGCCACCCAGGTGCCCCTCACGGAAGTTCTTAAACAAGCTTCTCCTGGTATTCACAGAGAAGCTAGGTGACTCAGACACAGGAAGTAGATGATGATTTAAAAGCTCTTAATAACAATTGCTAACATTTATTGAGTGCTTGCTGTTTGACACTCCCTTCTGTATTTGTTGATTTGAGCACTATTCTCTCTTGTATGGGGTACTGATGTTGGAGAACAGTAATTAAACAATAATAGCAGCTATGGGTATTGAGCTGTATTCAGCCTCATATTACACATCTTCTTTTCATGGACGAGGTCAGAGAGGGGGTCTCTTGCACCAGGTCTCACAGCTACCTAGAGGCTAGGGCTGCTTGACACTGGAGTATGAATACCTGGTTAGTCCCCCATACCATTTCTTCTCTGGCACGTAGCAGTGACAAAAGCCCCGTCAGTATTCCAGCTGAGAACACTGAGAACAATCCATGTCTCACCCCCTAGACTCCAGGCAAGTGGGGATGTTTTCTCCGCATAATCTGAACTCTCCTGCTTACCCCACACGTAAGGAGCATGAGAACTTGGCAGATACCCCATGCTGTGAGTAGGGGACCTCAGTAGGTTGTGTGGTGTTCTCCAGGGGCAGATATCCCTCCATTGAAAACTCTATCAGTCCCAAAGACAGGGCGAGGAGTGCAGTTACGAGTGGGTGTCGAGCCTTAACCAAACAGTGACTCATGAATGATTCTTGAGGCAGGAATCCCACTGTAGGATAAGATTTCCCCTCCACAGGCCGAGCCTGCTCCAAAGTCATCCCAGAACCAGATTTAGATGCAGGCCGGTGTCATTCATAATACACGATCTTAAGAAGTCAGCCCTGATGAGATCTTGCCATTTGCAACGACGTGGATGGAACTGGAGGGTATTATGTTGAGTGAAATAAGTCAAACAGAGAAAGACATGTATCATATGATCTCACTGATATGAGGAATTCTTAATTGCAGGAAACAAACTGAGGGTTGCTGGAGTGGGGGTTGGGGTGGGAGGGATGGGGTGACTGGGTGATAGACACTGGAGAGGGTATGTGCTCTGGTAAGCGCTGTGAATTGTGCAAGACTGTTGAATCTCAGATCTGTACCTCTGAAACAAATAATGCAATATATGTTAAGAAAAAAAAAGAAGAAGAAGGTAGCGGGAGGGGAAGAATGAAGCGGGGGAAATCGGAGGGGTAGACGAACCATGAGAGATGATGGACTCTGAAAAGCAAACTGAGGGTTCTAGAGGGGAGGGGGGTGGGAGGATGGGTTAGCCTGGTGGTGGGTATTGAGGAGGGCACATTCTGCATGGAGCACTGGGTGTTATGCACAAACAATGAATCATGGAACACTACATCTAAAACTAATGATGTAATGTATGGGGATTAACATAAGAATAACAAAAAAAAAGAATATATTTCCTAACGTTAAACTATCTTGGCACTCCTGGGATAAACCTGTCTTGGGAAAGATGCATCATCCTTTTTATGTATTGCCGGACTCAATGTACTAATATTTTATTTAGGATTTTTACTTCCATGTTTCTGAGCGATTCAGGAATAATATTGATCTGATATTGCTTGGTATGGAATTTAGACTGGCATCATAGAGTGAGTTGGGATCTGCTCTCTCTTTTTCTATTTTCCAGAAGGGCTTACGAGAGAATAGTATGATCTATTCCTTGAACGTTTAGACTTGCTTCTAGAACCATCAGGCTTAATGTTTCCTTTGACTAAAAATTTTAACAATTTCTCTAATAATTATAAAATTTACATTTTCTATAGTTGACAACTGATATAATTTGCTGGCAAATCAAACTTGTTATCATTATGTAGTGATCCTCTCCATCCTTAATGATTTTTGTTAGTCTGTTATCTAATATTAATATAGCTACACCAGCTCCCTTTTGGATACTATTTTTGAGGTATATCATTTTCCACACTTTTACTTTTAACCTTTCCAAATTCCTATGTTTTAGGAATACCTCTTGAGACAGTGCCTCTTAGATTCTTTTAACATCCCATTTGACAATTTTTTTTTTAAGATTTTATTTATTTATTTGACAGAGAGAGACACAGCAAGAGAGGGAACACAAGCAGGGGGAGTGGGAGAGGGAGAAGCAGGCTTCCCATGGAGCAGGGAGCCAGATGCGGGGCTCAATCCCAGGACCCTGGGATCATGACCTGAGCCGAAGGCAGATGCTTAACGACTGAGCCACCCAGGCGCCCCCCATTTAACAATTTCTGACTTTTAACTGATGAGTTTAGTTAAATTACTATGATTATTAGTATATCAGGACTTTTTTTTACTCTCTTTCTTAGGGGGAGGAGTCTCACTTTTTCTACATGTCTTTGGATTGATTAGCATTTGGGTTTTTTATTGACTTACGTCATTTCCCCCGTTCTACTGGTTTGAAAGTTATATATGTTATTTGTACTATTTTAATGAATACCATTGGCATTGTGCCATGCATAATTAGCAAAGACCAAAGTTAATATCTTAATTCCCTTCCCACCCCAAATGCAAAGGCATTGGAACCCTTTAATTTTGACCATCTCATTCCTAATTTACTGTTGTCCCCTATTTTTGTTCTGACCTTGTTTAAACCTATAAATTATGATTATTCTTGTCATCATTATTGTTTTGTACTGACAATTTTGTTTAGATTCACTCTATTTGCCCATTTCTTCACTCATTATTCTTCCTTTCACTGCAGTTCTTAATAGGGTTGTTTTTCTTCTTTCTGAGGTATATCTTAAAAGTTCAGTTAGTCAAATTTTCCAGTTGTAAATTCACTTTATCTGTATGTCACCCTCATTCCTGAAAGGCTGGGGATCCAATTTTCAGGTCTTTGGAGATACTCTTTAAATCTTTTAGCTTCCTATGTTGCCATTCAGAAATTTGCTGGCAATCTAATTCCTTCCTTTGGGAATAAGCTGTCTTTTTTTTTTTTTTTTTTTTTAATCTCTAGCTGCTTTTAAGATATTTTCTTTGTTTTTAGTATTCTGCAGTTTCACTGCAATATTTCTTGGTATGGATTTCCTATTATTTTTCCTGCTTGGGATATATTATGCTTCCTAAATCTGCAGAATTATATCTTTTTTCTGCTCTGGAAATTCTCACATATTACTACCTCAAATATAGCCTCTCCTTTCTTCTTTCCTTCTTTGATGCTGCTTAATTGGATTGTAGATATTCTCAGTCTATTCTACACATTTGTAAGATCTTTCTTTTCATATTTTTCATGTCATATCACTCTTTGTTGCATTCTGATTAATTTCTTCAGATAGGTCTACCAAATCACCCTATTTGGTTAATTATGATCTATAAGAATCCTGAACAACTTTCTCTTTGATGAGTACATTGTCCCTGAAGCTCTGAGAACAATTCGATGAAGCATGTCAAATGCAACTCTTGTAATCTGAATGATGAGGTAGCCAACATCTTAGAGAAAGATGCTCCAGTCCAAGCCAGGGAGATTGTCCTTAACTCTGGATGGATTCCAGCAGCCCTGACAGAGGCTGGTTTTACAAGGTGACCTCAAAGATGTTCTCTTTGCCACATCTCTGAGGCTTCTTGTCCATGACCCATTCTTAAAATTCAGGACCCACCCAACTCAGCCAGGTTCTACCAGTCTGGAGGGTTTGGCAGGCAGCAAGCTGCCTTTGGGGTGGATTTAAATACCAAGAGAGTCCTGCTGGGCACTGGTCCCACCTAGGTGTAGAATAAGGGCAGAAAAGGAAGCCATGGATTTAGGGTAGCAGAAGATATCAAGCCCCAATACCCCACCCCACATACAGTGTCCAGCACATAGTAAGTGCTCAGTAAATATTTGTTAAATGAATGAATAAACACTTTGATGGAATAAGTCCATAGAGCACTGTGGGCCCAAAGGGGACTTAAGGAAGGTTTCCTGGAGGAAGTGACATTTAAATTGAGGCATGGAAAAGAGGAAGTAGTCAGGCCAAGCAGAAAAGGAAGAGTTCCTGGTGGAGGGAACAGCCCATGCAAAGGCCAAAGTGGTAGAATTCAGCCTCGGTGGTGCCCTGAATAGTAGATGAGGCTGGAATGGGAAACTGAGGCCAGATGCTCAAAAATCCAGGCTTTGTGACAGATAAGCTAGTCAGACAACACCGTTTGAATTTACTGGGTAATAACTTTTATGCTCCGCTCCTGACCTTTTTGCCTAATGAGGTTTAACTGTCCTTAAAAATTAGAAATGACCATAGTGGGGATTTAACCAGTGGTGGCTGAAAGTCTTTCAACACTGCCATTTTGCCCCCAGAGTTTGGAGCCAGGTGCTGGGTCTAAATCCCCAGTTCTGTCCTTTATAGGCTGAATCCATGGGCAAGCTCCTCACCTTTCTTCTGAGAAAGGAAGCCAATCCCAATGCCCACCTCATAGGATTAAGAGACAACATGTGTAAGACAGCGTTGCTAAGCTTGCCTGTGAACCTGGGCCTGTCCCTCTGAGCCCTTTGAGAGCAGAGATCCAGCCAGAGTCACTTTGACGGCGCGGGCCCAACAGCACCAGGCACATAGTAGGTGCTCAGTAAACAAGGAACCAGTGCCTCGACGAACGCTGGCATCGCGCCGTGGAACTGTGGCTCCCTGGGTCCCCAGCCCTTCCCCTCGCCGAGAGCGCCCTTTAGGGGCGGGGCGGGGCGGCCGGTTCCGCCCCCTGCACTTGGCGCTGCGCGCGAACGCAGTAGGTGTTGGCCCTCCGGCCTGAACTCTCGGATGCTGGGAGACAGGTTGCCGAGGTCGGGATGTGCGAGGCGCTAACTTGCCCCTCTGGGTGTAACGCTGTGAGCGGCGCAGCCGAGGAGCTGAGGGTTCCCGTGCGGGCTCGGCGTAGACCGGACCAGGCAGCAGCGGAGCGGCGCGAGGAGCCGGCGCGGGCGGAGCCGGCTTTTCTGTCGGCTGACGCAGGCCGGCGCGCCGCGCCTTTAAGGCGTCCAGCAGAGCCCGGCGCCGGGAACTGAGCGGCGCGGGCACGAGCGCTGCTGCCGGACGCGAGCGGGGCTGGGGCCAGAAGACGGGCGTCCGGATCCGGCGGCGCGACCCAGGCGCCTGAGGTCAGATGGAGTGTGCGCCGGCGGGGCGGGCTGGGGCGGGCCGGGGCGGGGGATGCGCACCTGAAGGGGGGGCGGTCTGGGGTCTCTCCCTTATGGCCCCGTGACCCACCCTCCACTTCTCGAGTCAGGGCTGCCTGGCCTCCCCGCAAGCGGCACACGGGGCGAAATGGGTCGGGGACCTGCGCCTCTCTTTCTACTCGGTTCCCTCCCTCCGGCATCAGCCCTTGCGCGCTCCCCTGCAGTGCCTGGACACGTTCGACATTCCCGAATCCCAGGTGCCCTCACTCCCCGAGCTTGCCTACCGCCCTAAGCCCAGGGACAAGGTGAGGGTGGGTCGGGGACCTGCACCCTCTTTCTATTCCGCCTCCCACCGCTGGCTCCGGCACCAGCCCCTGTGCGCCCCTCCTGGTGCCTGGATGGTTTGGAGGCTCCTGTACCCCCGTTCTAACCACTTACTGAGTTCGACCTCCCAGCTAATGGCACCGACCCCCGTCCCGCCCCAGATATCTTCGCCCCTCGGGACCTCCCCCGGCCAGTACCTACCCCCAGCAGCCTTTTAGCTCACCTCGGCCCCAATTTTCTCAGCCTCATGCCCTTTCCTCCCGGCCCTCTTCTCCCTCCTCCTTGAGTTAGGTTGCTGGTCCAACCACCCCGACAGCCAGGTGCTGCCCCACGACCGCCAGCATCCTCCGCCTACACCTTCGCTGCCTTCCTGGCAGCCTTGGAAACTGGGATTGTGTAACGCAGGCTGCAGGGCAGAGCACATGCAAGATTTGCACCCCTGTATCCGCATTCGAGTGGAGGAGGCCAAGTTGACAGAGTGAATGAAATAGGGAAGGAGGAAGAGGTTGAGGGGAGGGTCTAGAGCCTGTGCAATCTGGGATATGTATCTGGAGACCTTCTTTTGCCTCAGAGTCTGATTGATTAAGAAGAGGTCTCAACTTGGACTGGAGGTCGGCATTTGCCTCACCTCTCCCTCATGGCTAGTCTACCTGGCTGGGAGCTAAGAGTTTATTATAAGTAATAGCTGACATAGAAGAAGCAAGTACTGGCTGCCAGATCCAGTCCTAGCACCTTTAGATTACCTGCTTTACTTCTCCCAACAGCTCCATGCATGAGGTAGGTACCGATGTTACGCCCATTTCTTTTTTTTTTTTTTTTTTTTTTTTTTTTTAAAGATTTTATTTATTTATTTATTTATTTGAGACAGAGAGAGAGACAGAGAGCATGAGAGGGAGGAGGGTCAGAGGGAGAAGCAGACTCCCTGCCGAGCAGGGAGCCCGATGCGGGACTCGATCCCGGGACTCCAGGATCATGACCTGAGCCGAAGGCAGTCGCTTAACCAACTGAGCCACCCAGGCGCCCACGCCCATTTCTCAGAGGAAGAATGTGTCCCCTTCCCAGGACACACAGGGAATCTGACCTCAAAGCCCCCGATTCTGAATCACTAGACTTAATTTTTACCCAATTGTAACTAATAAATTCTTATCAACATTTTTATAATATAGGAAGTTAGAAATAAGATCAATAACCTATGTTCTTAGCACCAATTTTTCTAAAAGTAGGTACTCAGACCAACAGAGGGAACTGGGTGTCCTCCTCAAGGAGACTGATGCCCAGAGAGAAGGGATGTGCTGGAGGCCACACAGCTAAGAAGTACCAGGGTTGGTATGCTAAACATGGCCTGGGATGCTCAGTCGTTACTTCCTGGGCTCCCAGTTCTGCCCCAACCCATCAGCCTAGGCCCCTGGAGATTCTTTCCCTCCCCCTCCCCGTTTGCATCCTGATCTTCCCCTTCCCCATCTGCTTCCTTTGCTATAACCCAGGAGGTGAGCTGCTGCCTTTGCTTAGGCTGTCTTCTCCTTTAGGAATGCCCTCCCTGGAATCTCTGATGTCTCAACCTAACCTACCCTTTAGCTCCAGCTCAGCGGTCCCCTCCAGGAATGCCCCTCTGATTGTTCCCCTGCCCCCAACTGAAAGCGATTCCTTTCTCCCCTGGGATCCTTACCTTCCACCCACATGATGGCATTTGGAAAGTTCTATCTGCATGTATCTGCTTATGCTTTCTGGTGCAACTGTGCTGGCAGAATCAGAAGCACTCCCCAAGACCCCTCTAACCATCTGCCTGATGAAGCCCCAGGACAAAGGGAGAGAGAGAGAGAGAGAGAGAAAGGGTCCATGGGGGTATGGTGTGGATTCTGAAGTAAGAATAGGCTCAGAATTTCTGAATGCCGCAACACCAGACTCCCTTCATTGAGCTACGGCCTGGTCATGGGAGAATGGCTCAGCATGGTACCTAACATTATAACTACATGTTTGTTTTTGCTCATAACCCAGAGGATTCCCACCAGAAAATCAGAGAGGCTTGGGTCCTAATCCCACTGCTGCCACTGCTAGCTGTGTGGCCATGGGCCTTTTACCTGACCTCTCTGAGCCTTAACTTCTGGTAATGGCAACTGCTTCAGAAGGCAGTGATAAGATTTAGATAAAATAGAGTACAAGGCCCAGCAGGTGGTGAGCACTCAGTAAGCACCAGCTATTAGGAAGAGTTAGTGTTGACCCCTTCTTTGAATTACTGGAGACATATTAAATCATTACTAAATGACTCACACTGACTCTGCTTAGAGGTGGGCCAAAGGAATCCCAGCCAAGGAGAGGAAAGCATTTTTTAAAAAAGATTTTAAGTAATCTCTACACCCAGCGTGGGGATTGAACCCACAACCCCTCGATCAAGAGTCGCACGCTCCACCAGCTGAGCCAGCTAGGTTCCCTGAGGTAGGCATTTTGTGTGTGTACTCAGAAAGGCCTGTGGTGCTTTCTTAGACTCTAAACCATCCATTGCCTTGGCGAAAACAATCGCCTTTCTGTTTTTTAGCTTTAAAAATCTGTGAGCTTTGAGTTCTGTGAGGCTCCACACACCTAGAATGAGTGTGAATGCAGTTCATGAAATTGTAAGTAATTGTGAAACTTACTGATACGAGGGAAAAAAAAGCTGATTCTTAGAGGTGACCTTGGTTTGCACTGTGTGTTGTTTCAGGCTTGTCTTGGGGGCGAGAGGTTTGAATCAAAGGTTTACTTTGGATTTGGAGGGAAGGAAAGCTGGGGTGAGTGTTTTTCCCTAGTACGCTAGTAAGCAGCTCAGAGTAGAAATCAACTTCCCTGTGTCATATTCTTTACCAACTCCTGGTTATTTTGATGATTAGATCACTTTTTACAGTGATGAATGCTCCAAAAGTAAAGGGCCAGGAATGTGTCCCTCAAAGCTAAGTGTTTGGAATATGTGGGGAAGCCGGCTCTGCTGGTTGAAAAAAAATATATTTTAAAATGTCTCCTAATTTGATCATTAGGGTAAGTTAGGTTCCCATTTGATCATTTTAAGACTGTTGAGTTTAGATATTCTAAGGCATATATTTTTGTAAATTTTCACGGTTCCGTAGCATTTAGCAGCCTACGGGACTTTATTTTTGTGACCCTGCAGGGACACAAATATTTTTCATGCTATTAATATGGTGGCCATCAAATTCAAATTAAATAAAATTTAAAATTCTCTTCTTAAGTCACACGGGCCATATTTCAAGTGGTCGATAGCCATGGGTGGCCAGTGGCTACTATATTAGGGAGAGCAGATAGAGAACATTTCCATCTTCCCAGAAAGTTTTATGGGAAGGCACTGTTTAGATCAATAAAGCCACGGGCAAACTGCATGATTACGGGGTTAAGTTCCATTCTTTCTAGCAAGTCATCTGGAGGCCAAGAAATGGAGTGTGCCGAGGATGTTTTGTTGTCAAGAATGAGGTTGTTACTTAAATCCCCTTAGCTTCATTTTGGTTTTCTGGTTCACTGGCTTTTAACACTGCCAGATTCAAAGGATGGGGGAGATGGAAGCACATGGAATGTCTTCCGGCAATGCTTCTCCATCCTGGCTGCATGTTAGAACCGCCTAGGGAATTTTTAAAAAATACCCATGTCCTGCCTCTGCCCCAAGCCCAGTGAATCTGAATCTCTGGGGGTGGTATCCCGGAATCTATATTTTTAAAACGCTCCCTGGGAGATTCTGCATGGCCAGGGTTGAGAACAACTGCCTTCTAGACTGTGAACTTAGAAAAAAAAAATCCCTGAGGACTGGAAGACATCGTTTTAAGGCAGATACGGTGAGTGGCTAAGAATGCTCCTCACTGATTTACTGCAGACATAAATCCAGGGTTGGAGTCGAGTGGGCTCACTTCCTCCAGAAGGGCTCTCAACTGAGGGCAGCTTTGCCCCCCGGGTGCATTTGGCAACGTCTAGAGACATTTTTGCTTGTCACAACTTAGGGGTGGCATCGAGTGGGTAGGGGCCCCCGGATGCTGCCAAATATCCTACAGTGTATAGGATAGCCCCCCACAACAAAGAACTAGGCAGCCCAGAATGTCCGTTGTGCCACAGTTGAGAAACCCTGATCTAGATGCAATTTCCGCAAACCCAAGTCCTCTCTGACCTTGGATGTAGTTGTCTCTTCAAAGAAGATCAAGATATTCTCCTACACTGGGCCCTCCGAAACCCTCTTGACCATCTTCCAGGCTTTCCAAACCCAGAAGCCACGGAGGGGGTCTCCGCCTGTATTTGGATGTGTTTGGGGCTGCACCAAGGAAACTGCTGATTCAGGGGTACGGGGCAGCCTGTGAAAGGTGTGGGCAGAGGTTCTTACTGCCCACAGGTTGGGATCCTATTCTTTTTGTTAATTATCTGAAGTAGCAGCAGCCTTTGCCTTAGGCTGTTTTCCCGAGGCTGTGGCTCTTGGTGTTGGGTGTTGGCCTTGTGATATATACGCAGAGCAAGATTTAAGCCTTCTATGTGATGAAATTTGGTAATGGAGCTAGGGGCCAGACTCTGGGAGTATAAAGATAGCAACACAGACATGCCCGTAGCCTCAAGCGTCTGAGAGCCCCAGGCACGGTGGCACTGCAGGGGAGGGAGGGGTGGGGGTGTGGCAGGGCTCCCTCCCTGGGCCTGCGAGGGCT